ACCGCGGACACTGGGAGCTGAGGGGCTCTGTGCCTGCAGACGCTCCAGGTAAACAAAACGTCCAGGCCCACTCGCAGTTTACCTTAACGGGCCAGGAGCCAAAGTTTGCCAACCCCTGAAATATAGGGTTGGCTTATGAAAGGGTCCTGCAGTTTTTGCTATTTTTACCTAACGATCTTGGGGGGTCAGCTTGTAAACGAACGGGCTAATGAACGAGTATATACGGTAATAACCCGCAGAGGCTGTTGTACCAAGGAGGGAGGAAAAGAGACTGGGGAGGCCAAGAGTCAGATTTATCCAATTCCTTTCCATCAGATGAACCTGCCCTCCAGATGCACACAGACAAAGGTGAATGGACGGAGCACAGAGATGCCACCCTTGCTCTCATTGTTTACCACCACCAGTATCCCGGGATGCAAGAGGAACCTCGGATTGCAGGAGGAGGGGAAGGAAGGGAGAGACCTGAGGCTTTGGAGCTCTGAACACAGTTGCAGGAGTACGTGCAGTTTGGGCTTCTTTTGTTTCTTGAGATACCTGAACCATGGACCAAAGATCCCAAATGCTGGTATCAGCCTCGCCGTGAGTGCTCATCCTGCAGGGCTGGTTGCCAGCCTGCCTTATTAGACAAGAGGGACGCACGCGACTTTGGAAGACACTTCTTTCTTTGTAGCTTCTTGAATTAATTTTCTTTGTTACAACTCTAAGTCATGCTCCCCGCTCTGGTGGTTTAACAGCAGGAGGCTGTACTGAGCTTGTTCTGTCTCAGCCCAGATTTCCTTGATGAAGTTACTTATAAAAGAAAGCAGATCATCTCTGATCTCCCTTTCATGGAGACCCACTATCCTCAGGTTCCTTCCTCTTGCTCCATCCACCAGGCCTGTCAATTCTTCCTTCAGCCAATCACTTGCATTTGTTTTTTACTGATTCAACATGTGGCTAGAGATTCTCTGCCTTCAATACCCCCAATCCAGCAGAATTTCTTGAGAAAGTCATGCTCCAAACCAGCTCCAATTACATTCACTCTTTCATGCAGTGTCATTTGTTCAGAAAATACATGGGCCTTTTTGCATGTCTATGAACATTTTTTCTATTGCAGCATCAGGGTTTCCATCCTCACTGCTTGGGGCCCAGAAAGGCTCAGAAGGGCCCATTCCACATCAGAGCTGTCTCCCCACACCGGCTTCCCTGCCCTGGGTTTGGAGAAGTTGCCATTTAATATTTTGGATGGGATAAAATGGGTCCTGAGGGTGCCGTTCCACTCCTGATCAGCTGAGCTGAGACGCTAGCAGCCTTCTTCCCCCAGCCCCTCCCCCAGGACCTCTCCTTAGGAAGCTTTAGGCTGGCTACATACAGTATGCGAAGCAGTAAAAGCCAAATGGCTGTAACCTACATTGTGTGTGCAATTATTAACTGACAAACTTTATCAGAGCAGTAAAGCTGAAGCCTGTGCATGCCAAGGAATGCCACAGTTAAAACATGAGAGAGAAATACTCAAATATCACAATGCATCTTCTAAAAGCAACTCAGCTCTTGCGCTTGCCAGCTTCAATCTGCCGGTGTCCAATACCCACTCCTCCTGCAGCATAAACCTTCCCAAAATAGGCGACCTCAGTCAGCTGCATGCCACACATAACCCACAGACTCTCCTCCAGTTCCACGCCCACTACCGGCCAGGTATACCTACTCTCCATAGAGAGACCGCACAGCCCTCTCCTATCCCAACTACCCACTATGATCAAAGAGACCCACTGTATTCTTCATGTGTATTCCAGAAACAGCTTCCTCCCACACAGAGCAGAAAACCCAGTCTAGCAGTCAGGACAGCAGCAGCGTTCTCTCCTTATTTGCCCTTTGGATGTGAGTCAGACATCTCTACACCCAACAATCTGCACCCATGGATGCTGCAGAACTCAAAGTAGACTTGTTCTCCAAGCCAGGCTGCAAGGAGGAGAGAAGGGAATTGACAGGCCTGCAGAATGTGTTAACCTTTCCTCTGTAGGCAGGGATTAGAGTATTTCTAGAGTTGTGGTTAAATCCCTTGTAGACGGGTAGGGACAGCTACACAAACAGGTCAGGCCATTTCCAGAATTTACATTGACATTTGACATGTGTACATTTTATTTCAGAGACTGTGTGAACTATGAATGTGTCTGAATATTTATCTACCTTCCCTTAATAGTTCCCTTCCACACTTTTAAATGCTTCCTGCGCTAATAGTTTATCTAACGTATTTCGTTTACAATGCAGGAGTTCCATTGTTAATATTTCCGAGCAGCGACAATTACATATGAAGATGGATCTGATCATTTCCGTCGAAGGGAAAGGAACAGCAGCACTTTTTCTACGCAAGTTCTGAGGGGAGTGAATCCAGAGCTTACACTGGAATCCAAACCACAGCCGTATCTGTGGAGCTGCTCCTGAGTGGTTCCACACACGGCACGTTTTTACATGACCTCAAATTTCCAAAGCAGTGTGACCTGCTTCTTTCACACAGACACACTCATTCTGCACCAAATGCAGGACTACAAGTGAACCGTCACGGTGCGTGCCACACGTGGCTGCAGAATGGGACTGGAAGCCTGGCTTTACAGCTGCCTTCACTCAAGCTAGAGGAAAGCTCTGTTAACTGTTGTCATAAGAGGACCCTTATGTTCACTCTAAGATGCAACTAGCTCCTAGCTTCCTGTGATCAAGCAGGATCAAACAACACACAAAATCCTCTCTCCCCGGACTTGTCTTTGTTTTGTGGCTCTAAAGCAGAATTGGACTCCAGTAGTTCCCTGCACAGACCCTGGCCACGGCTTACTCTCAAGATGGCTTAATCCCAGGCCTCTAACTCATCTCAGAGTCACTTGGCCTTCTCATGCAGAATCGGTCCTTGGTTGAGTTAGCAAAATAACTCTACATCTACACAGAGCTCCAGTGTGTGGTGTAGGCCATCAGGCTAACGACTGTCCTAGTCCCTAATAACTCTGCTCACTGACCAGCTGGGTTGGGCACTAGCTTCCCAGGATGATTAGCCAAGTAGTAATTTGGGCTAGACAGGTTAGGCAGCTACAGTGTCAAGTCAGAGTAACAAAACGGTCCAAACTTCCAAGAAACCTTTTCTCGCCATTACCTTCTGAATTATTGGGGAGCGGTGGGGGCTAAAACCAGAGCTTCTAAGAGAAACTCGAGTTGTTGCTGTCCTTTTAAAGATCTAATCTTTCTAGTTTTCACATCCAGCCCTCGAGCCCCAGACAACATTTGTGCATTTACAATCACATTCCCCTATTCTTAATGTGTTCGTCTCTCCCCTGTTGCTGTGAAACCCCCCCAGTCAAGAGGGGAAGCAGTGAGACTGGCTAGACACAGCATGCTGGCACACACAGGAAACATGCTGAGGCCAGAGAAATTCCTCGGGATCCACACCAGCAAAACCCTATGCTCCAACCGCAAGTGCAGGGAAGCCAGGTAGAGAAGCAGAAGTGAATCAGATGTCCATGGTCTGTACCTAGCCACCAGTGCGATATTCACCCCACTCTAGCCAGTCTGGTGCAGTGGTGCTGCCGTTCCGGGACACCTGGGATTCCCCACGGAGCTGGTCACAATGCCTCTCAACATCCAGGGAGAGGAAAGAAGAGATTCCCATTTACAGCCCCTTCACACAGCAACTACTGCAGCACAACCAGGCTGGGGAGAGTGAGTGATCAGTCAGCTAGATGGGCATTTCTGGAACTTCTGGACTACATCAGAGGGGATAAGGCACTTCAACATCCCAGGCA